CCGGGGCTGGGGGTGCTCGGCCAGGGCTGGACTGGGCCGCGCCGCGCCTCCCCTCCCCGGAGCCCTCCTCGCGCCACCCCCCCTCCCAGCTTACCTGTTGCTGCCGCCGCCTGCCCCTGCTTCTTTTCAGGCTTCCCGCGAACATCTGATTCGCGGGAAGCAGGGGAGGGGGAGGAACAGGGGGCGGAGCGTTCAGGGGAGGGGAGGAGGGGGAAGTGAGCTGGGGGCGGGGTGGACAGCTGCGGGGCCCTCTTAGGCGCGGGGCCCAATTCAGCTGAATCGGCCTAAAGCCGGCCCTGCCCAAACCCCTGACCCCTCTAACCCCCCCTTCTCCCTGCCCCTGACTGCCCCCCCGAACCTCCGCCCCATCCAACCCCCCAACCCCCTTACCGTGCCACTCAGACCAGTGTGTCTGGCTCTGCGCAGCACCAGACACACTGCTGCATACATGCTGCCGTGCTCCCCCGCGGAGCCACAGCACCTCCCTCCCCCCCCCGCCGGCACCTGCCTTCCAGATTTGAACACCTCAAAATTCAGGAGTGCTCAAGCTCAGTTTGGGCAGCTGTTACTTCATTTCTCCCAAATCAAATATACTGATCCACTGTAACTTGCTGTAGAAAAAGTAGGATAAAATTGAACAAGAAATGCTTCCCAGTGGTTATTAGGACTGGAATTGCTATTTTCAACAGCCATTGCCTTTTTTGTTTGTTTGTTTGTTTAAAAGGAAGACAGTGATATTGCATTGGCAAATTCCCCATAGAAAGAAAGAGTGGAACAAAAGAATAATAAAGGCACCTCAACTTTTCCTCATTTATGTAGGACAGTCTTATAATATGCATCCAGATATCCTCCAATCACACAAGCTGAAAATTGTTCCACTTTACTGCAGTTCTGTAACCATATGGGAAGCAATCCTGTCTGTGTTCTGTGCACATCTAAAATTCCTGCTGAATGACCTGCCATGGGAGCGAGTTACCAGTGACCCAGGGCTGTGGCGGAAGGAGGGTGCAGGTGCGGGTGGGGAGAGAGCCCAGGGCTGGGGCGGCAGGAGGTGTGTGTGGGGAGCAATGGTGGGGGGGAAATGAGGGAGCCCAGAGCTGGGGCCGCGGGGGCGGGGAGGGAGAGCCCAGGGCTGGGGCAGCAGGGGGGTGGGGAGGGAGAGCCCAGGGCTGGGACGGGGGGCAGCCAAAATTTTTTTTGCTTGCGGCGGCAAAAAACCTAGAGCCGGCCCTGTCAGTAATATATCCCTACTGTTATATTCTTATTATTCGAGCATGGAATTATTATCCAGAGAGATTCTATGGTACAGTTTGGTTCAGGCAGGTGGCCATTCTCTGTTGGCCAGCCACAGAGCAGGACGCTCCTCTGTGCGAGGCTGTCTGCTCCGCTGGGCCAGGCTTCTTTCCCGCGCTCTCCCTACCTCCCGTGATGTCGGGATTTCTTTCGCTGAGAGAAGCCGATCAGGTTCCTCTTGCGGGCCGAGGCCTCAGTGTCTGAGAGATCGGCCTTCAGCCTCCCCTGGTTCTTCTCTGCCAAGGGGCACCCTGAGAGGCAGTAGTGAGCCGTGAATCTCCCCGTCACATGTCCGGAGCCATCACAGCCTGGTGTTGGGCACTTCCTGGAGAACAGAGGGGAAGCGGAGAGTTACACTCGGAAGAGACACTTTAAATGGGTACCAGCCCTGGAGAGAGATGGGCAGGGCACAAGACAGGAGCCCTGCTGCTGCCCATGCTGCTCATTACCCTATCTCTGCCCCACCAAACAGCCTCAGCCCTGGGCACTCAGAGAGTACTTGACGGATAGGAAGGACAAAGTTCCCTGCACAAATCTCACAGGACTCCAGTCACATGGGCGTGCTGCTTAACCGACAGGTCCCCTGTAGCCTGCACAGGCTGAAATACCCCCCATTCCTCATTAACAGCATCACTCTTCCCATGGGAATACCCTGGCACTGCGTGGCACTTGCTGAGCAGGTCACAGGCACCAGGTGTCATACTATCTCTACTCCTTCCCACTACCCAGATGACTCCTTAGGCCCCAAAGCCAGGGGAGTGAGGAGGAGTGAGGTCTCAGGGGATCGGTTAACGGGCTGGGGCTAGAGAAATCTTCAGGGGCCGGAAGATCTGAGTTTCTCATGACTTGTGGCTTTGCAGCATACATCTCCCACTGCTCTGGTTTTATGCTGCAGTGCAGGGGCCTGGCTCCTACCATTCCCGATTCAATGTGATCCTCTTAGAAGTCCCAGGAGAATGGGCCAGAAAAGCATTTGGAAGGGCATGGGGAAGTTTATTGCTACATCTCATTAAACCTACAGTGCTTTATAGCGCTCACTGATTTCAGCTTCTAAACAGAGGGCTAAGCTCCCCCAGTGATGCCCTGCCTCATCAGCCATGCCACAGATATGGTATGGTTGCCTGGCAGGGTGCAGGACCATGAGGCCACCACTGGGGGGACTCCTGGTGCACACGGGGCTTTTCCAGCCCCACCAGGCTTCGCCGCTGTGCGTGAGCTTCCGGCAGCAGAGGGGGCAGGTCCAGAGCAGGGATTACACACCCGGGGGGGCGTTAATTTAGCACATGCTACCCCTGCTCCCTTCAGCTACAGGGTCTCCCTGCTCTCGCTTCTCCAGGCCCGGGGGGAGGAGAGAAGGGGTTGCCTTGAGCTGGGGGAGCACCGAGAGGGACGGAGGGGAGGGCTGCCAGCTGGGTGGAAGGAGCCTGAGGGGTCAGGTTGATCTGTGGGCTGGGGTGTGTGAGCCCAGGGGACCCATAGCCAGGTGGGGGCTTCTGAGCTGTGGGAGGCTCCACGGGGCAAAGGTCAGCAGCCGCACAGGACTGGAGAGCCCCCATTTGCTGCCCCCACTGCCCACTGCCAGCCCAGCTGGGCTGCAGCCTCCTGCAGCAGCAGAACAGGAGGCCTGGACTGACCCCTGCGCTGCCTGTGGGGACTCACCTGTGGTGAAAGCTGTACTTGGAGCCTTTGGTATGAGGGATGCTCTTGCAGCCCAAGGTCGGGCAGCCCCCGTGGGCAGAAGCGGCTGGTTCCTTTGGCCCTAGAGCAAATGAGAGATGTGGTCATGGGTTCGGAGCCACAACAACCCGCCTGCTACCTCAGGCTAGCAACGAAGCTGCCGGGTGCCGGCACTTTCCACCACAGGTGATTGGTAAACACGCTGATTTTAAAGACTGCTGGCTCTGCAAGTTGGAGTGCTCCTCTGGAACTCCAGTCAGGGCTTTCCCTGCTTCTGGCCATCAGCCTGCTGCTGAGACAGATCCCAGGCCTCACAGCCCCAGTGCTGACAGTACTGAACCCCCGTTTGGGCCCAATCCTTCGCTCCCTCCTCTCCTGGAACTCACACGGAGCTCAGGGAGCTGTGCCCAGGGTCTGCCCCAGAGCACGCGGGGAGCAGATCTGCTGACTGTGAAGGTGCCATTTCAGCAGAGTCACTTTGCAAACCATCCCACAGCCTAATGCTGGGAATCGCCACATACCTGGGACGGCACCAGAAAAGGAAAGCGGAAGCGGTTCCATGGAAGAACCACCAGAGGTTGTTCCTGCTACTGGCGGTAAGAATAAAAACCTGCTGGGATCAGCGCAGGGACCAGTACACACCGAGGGCTTGATCCTGCTTCCATTGGAGCCAATAGTCCAAATTCTGCTCTCACTGACACTGGTATAAAGCTGGAGTAAGTCCATTGACTTCAATGGGAACACTGCAGATTCGGTCCATTGACAAAACACCCACTGCCGTAACAGGGCAGTGCGGGGCGATGAGATTTGCCGTGTGGAGTGCTGGTGCCAGCTTCCATTGAGAGAGGTGCACAGTGGGTGCAGTTGGAGTCTGTTCGGATACCAGCACTGCTCTGTTGGGGAGTGGGTATTCCTGCACTGCTCATGGTGTCAGTGTGCTCACTGGCCTGGGGGGCAGTGACAGCACAGGTTGCTATAGGTTCTAGCACTTACTGGCCAGGCGATGTCAGAGCAAACACTCCCAGGGTGAGGCCTCGGGCACAGCGCCGGCAGGATGGGCCTGCAGTGACAGCACTGGCATCGGCACCGGTACTTACTGAGAGGAGGCTGCAGCGGGTGTCCAGTTTTCGAGCACCATCCCACATGGTGGATATCCGGATGATCCGCATCGATCCAGAAATCATAGACGTGACTCCAGCCATCAAAATGGACCTGAGGAGACGAGGTGACAGGTCACTGCTTAACTGTCACAGCCCCCCTCTAATGAGTATTAAACCCACATGGGCTTCTTGGCAGGGTGGGATTAAAACAGAGGCATTGGAGGTCTGTGCTTTGGGCCCCAGCTCCTGGAGTCATGTGAGAATATCAGAATCTCAGCTTTCATTTCTAGCCTCATGGATGATGAAAATGTGACCCAGTGTAACAGATGCACACCAGAGTCTGCAGACAGCCTGAAACAATCACTCCAAGAGATGTGAACTTCCCCCATTCATCCTAAACTTGCTGCCACACCAAGGAGGGATGGGAGCAGGGTCATAGAGGTCTTCATGTGGCGGTGCCTTAATTTGGGTCTGCTCCTAGGAAGAGAAAAGCCTGAGATTCCCTACGGGGGTGGGCAAGCGGGCTGGCTGGCGCACGCACACACACACATATTTTGCACTCAAATCTTTCCATCAGTCACTATAAGATGGGGGTGGGCAGGAGGAGCAAGCTACAGGGGCAGTTAAGCAGAAAGCAGGAAACTCACCTTTATCCGGTAATCCTCCACGTCTTCCACGCTGGCCACGCGGATGAGGGAGGGAGTCCGCCTGTCCACCGCCTCCAGCTTCATGTTCACCAGAAAGCTGTGGGGCGGCCGCTGGGGCAGAGAATGCAGAGGGTCAGAGGGCAGCCCACAAGCTCCTATTTCCTTCACTATCACTCTCTGTATACCTCCCCCAGCCCCTCCCTCTTTGTGGGCTGGGTCTGCTACATCCAGCATGGAGCTCTGAACACCCCCAGCTTCTCTCCAACACACTTGCCATCAAAGGCTACGTCTACACTTAAAAAAATGACAGTGTCACAGCTACAACTACACTTACTACACAGTGTAGACAGAAGGTGTCTCCGTTGCTGTGGGTATTCCACCTCCCTGAGAGGCAGTAGCTAGGTCAATGGGGGTTAGGACGGCTTGACTACGTCACTCAAGAGTGTGGATTCTTCACATCCCAGAGAGATGTAGCTTTTCAGCGTAAGCCAGCCCACAGCCACAGACCTTCTGGCTTTAGAGGCCTCGGAGCTTAACGAGGTGAATAGAGAGGACAATGGCAATTTCCTGTAACATCTTTGGGAAATCGTACTGTATTGTGTATCTGTGACAGAGAGCCATTGGTGGTTCATTACTCTGCGTCAGCAACTCTCATCAGGCCTGACATGCTTACTACACCTAAAACGCTGTTGTCAAAACCTGTATCAAACTAACAAGTGGGGGAGAAGACACTGGCCTGGTGAGGCAGCCTGGCTTGCTGGCGATACCACACTGCAGGTGGGGAACCATGCAGCCTGTAAAAAAATCCCATCAGAAGGGAGAGAGACACGGGTCTCTCCCCAAGAGAGGTGGAGACTGAGGGGCTGGGAGCCCAGAGTGCGTCTCTGGAGTTTAATGAGTTGAACAGGCATGGTGGGAGCAGAAAGGGCCGGCTCCAGGCACCAGCAGAGGAAGCACGTGCCTGGGGCGGCACATGCTAAGGGGCGACATTCCGTCCATTCTTGGGGCGGCACAGTCCAGGTGGCTTTTTTTGTTGTTGTTTCTTTGGCAGTTCGGGCAGTAGTCCGAGCAGCTTTTTTTTTTTTTTTTTTTGCTTGGGGTGGCAAAAATGATAGAGCAGCCCTGGGAGCAGGATTGAGCCAATGAGAGGCCCAGGTCAATGCTGTGCTGATGCATGATGAAAACACTTTGCTCGGCGTGAGGGGCCTTTTGGGCTGGTTGGATGCTGCTATTGTCTGTCTGAAAGCAGCTTTCAGTGCATTGTGGTTATCTCCCATCACCCCTGGTCCTAACAAACCAGGCTGACAATCTGGTTTCCTGGTATCACGCCCCAAAGCCCAGGAGAGAGGAATTCTACACAGCTGCTGTTTCCTTCCCCCACGCAGGGGGTGGCACTGCCCAGCAATGATCTCCCAGGCTAGGGACAATATGTGGCAATGGTTTCTGTGGCTCAACCCACTAGGCAAACCCCGCAAGGCACAGACAGTTTTCAAATACGAGATCTGGAGCGTGAATTCAAATCCAGTGTCTGCAGGGGGCATGGGCCCAGCACCCCTGCTTTAATGGCCCATGCCAGCCCTGCTGAGACTCTATATGAGGGAGTAGCTATGTCAGATGCCACTTTAAAGACCCACATGGGAATAGAGGTGTCTCCAGAGGCCCAGTGCTCACCAGCCCGTGACTGCACCGGCAGAGCCAGCGGTAGGGCCAGGCACCGGCACTCACCACTTTAAAGGCCCAAGCTGGCACTGCAGATGCTCCGGTTTCCATCAGGTATTTTTCCCAGTTGAAGCTGTCAGGGTCGGGATAGTCTGGACAGGAAAACAATGGACATATTGAGTGGCTTCTCCTCTGGGGGGTGTCCCACAATTCCCTGCTCCCCCACAGGACCAATGCAGCATTTGGTCTGCACTGGGACCGGAGGGAACTCTGGAAACTCCTGGATGTGTATTAATTCCTTCCAGGGCCAGTGCAACCTATTAGGCGACCTAGGCGGTCGCCTAGGACACTAGCATTTGGGGGGGCGGCATTTCGGGTCCTTCGGCGGTGACCGCGGCGGCCAGATCTTCGGCCGCCCCGGTCGTTGTCAGCATTTAGGCGGAGGGAGCTGGGGCAGGAGGGCGCGGGGAGGGCCGCCTGCAGCAAGTAAGGGGGGGGCGGCACGCAGGGGAACTCCCCGCCCCAGCTCACCTCTGCTCTGCCTCCTCCCCTGAGCACGCCGCCCCGCTCTGCTTCTCTCCCTCCCAGGCTTGCGGCGCCAAATAGCTGATTGGCGCCGCAAGCCTGCGAGGCGGGAGAAATGGAGCGGTGACAGCGTGCTCGGGGAGGAGGCAGAGCAGAGGTGAGCTGGGGCGGGGAGCTGCCGCACGGCTCCCCGGGCCGGGGGGAGCTGCCGCGGGGGGGAGCGCCTTAGGGCGGGGGGTGGAGACCTGCCACAGAGCTCGGGGGTGGGGGCGCAAGGTGGAAGTTTCACCTAGGGCGCAAAACATCCTTGTACCCACCCTGATTCCTTCTGCGCCCCAAAGTCCACTCCTGGGAGGGGACGTATTAGTGAGTGACACCTGGGCCAGCGTCCGACAGCTTGGGCTCTCCCTTAACTCACTGGCTAGCCTGACAGAACCAGCACACTGCACATGGACGACTACAGCTAAATCCAGAGCATCCCCTTCCACTTAACATTGGTTCCCGCTGGCTGTGGCATGAGAGTAAAACATGGTGTTTTGAGTGCCCTCTAGTGGTAGTTCTCATTATAGTACTTCGGTACAGGAAATGTCTGTTGGACTACACTACCCAGAATCCTTAGCAAGGAACTGGGCGTGTTCTGTGTTGGGAAAGTGAGAAATAACACATGAGGGATTGCTGGCAGCAACCTCAAAGCCTGTCCTTATTTAAAAAAACTCCCATGGGTAAAATCTGGAGTTCCTTATTACTCAAGCAAAACTCCCCCCTGCCTTCAGCTAAGTCAGGGCGTTAGCGCATGGTCCCAAGTGTGTTCAATATACCACAGTGGGAGTTCTCTAGGGTTCAGCTCACGGAAGCCAGACTGGGATACCGACTCTGGCTGCGTACTCACCTTGAGGAGGCGTGAGGGGTTTCCCATGCGCTTGACACCAGCCGACTGGGTGGATGTACGGACTGCTGGGGTCGCACCTGCAGCACACACATACACGTTCATAGGGGATGCAGGTACAGTCACACCCAGGGCATGCACATGATCTCTCCATGGCAGTGCACAGGACCTCAGAGCCAGGGCAGGTGTCCTGCCAAAGGGATGGCACCAGCTGGGACAGCACAGCACATTGGTGGCTGGAGCACGGCCTAATAGCCATGTGCCAACCTAAGCATTCTACAACACAGTCTGTGGCTGCCCTCCTCCTCACCAGAGAGGAGTGGCCCCTATGACAGCAAGTCCTGGCAGGGTCAGTGCTACAACATGTGGGGCCCCAAATTTCCGAGAGGGAAATAAACGAAGCCCTGAATTTCACAATGGGCCTGTCTGCAAGTCAGATCTCGCTACTCCTATGGACCCACTGCTGGGAGAGGCAAAGGAGTGAATTATTCCCTGCCCCTTTACTACTGGAGAGGAAGACAGGGCCAGCCCGTGAAGTTTCAGAGGGAGGTGATCCATGGGGCTAAGTAGTGTGTGGGGCTTGAGGCCACTCCTGGATCGTTCACTCAGATCCCCGTGGAGCACAGCACGCTGGGACCTACAGTCTCCACAGGTCACACCTCCGTATTAGGTGTGACCTGGGTGGTGGAAATCTGTTTCATTGTCTATTCTGTAAGGGCAGCTCCTAGCCCCCTAGAATAGGCCTCAGCTGGACAAAATTTGGGCACTGTTGGCCTGAAGCTCTGCAGAGAAACACAACCCAAACCTTTGAAAAACTGAGGTTTTTAAAATGAAGGACAGCAACCTTTCCTTCTCCCAGAGACAGGGCATGAACAGACTACACCCTTGTTAAAGGGGCCATGCCCTGGACATCTTCTGGATAAGTGATGAGAGGTGGGCGTAATGGCTGAACATTCCCTCTCAGTGCTTTGAAACAAAGAAATTGGTGTAAGAACATAAGAATGGCCCTACTGGGTCAGGCCAATAGTCCATCTGGCCCAGTATCCCGTCTTTTGACAGCGATCGGTGCCAGATGCTTCAGAGGGAGTGAACAGAACATGGCAATTATTGATTGATGCGTCCCCTCTCATCCAGTCCCAGCTTCTGGCAGTCAGAGATTTAGGGACACCCAGAGCATGGGGTCATGTCCGTGACCATCCTGGCTAATAGCTCTTGATAGACCTATCCTCCATGAACTTATCTAGTTCTTTTTTGAACCCTCCTATGCTTTTTGGCCTTCACAACATCCCCCAGCAATGAGTTCCACAGATTGACTATGCATTGTGTGAAGAAATACTTCCTTATGTTTGTTTTAAACCTGCTGCCTATTAATTTCATTTGGTGACCCTTAGTTCGTATGTTATGAGAAGGAATAAATAACACTTCCTTATTTACTTTCTCCACACCATTTATGATTTTATAGACTTCTATCACATTCCCCCCTTAGTAATCTCTTTTCTAAACTGAAAAGTCCCAGTCTTATTAATCTTTCCTCATGTGGAAGCTGTTCCATACCCCTAATCATTTTTGTTGCCCTTCTCTGTTCCTTTTCCAATTCCAATATATCTTTTTTGAGATGAGGCGACCAGAACTGCACGCAGTATTCAAGGTGTGGGCGTACCATGGATTTATATAGTGGCATCATATTTTCTGTCTTATTATCTATCCCTTTCCTAATGGTTCCTAACATTGTTAGCTTTCCTGAGTTGTTACAGCTGTTTTAGACCCCATCATTTTATATTTATAGTTGGGATTATGTTTTCCAGTGTGCACCGTTTTGCACTTATTAACATTGAATTTCATCTGCCTTTTTTGTTGCCCAGTAACCCAATTTTGTGAGATCCCTATGTAATTCTTTGCAGTCAGCTTTAGACTTAACTAATTTGGGTAATTTTGTATTGTCCGCACATTTTGCCACCTCACTGTTTACCCCTTTTTTCAGATAATTTATGAATATGTTGAACAGCACTAGTCCCAGTACTGATCTTTGGGGGAACCTGCTATTGACCTCTCTCCACTGTGAAAACTGACCATTTATTCCTACTCTTTGTTTCCTATCTTTTAACCAGTTATTGACCCATGAAAGGACCTTCCCTCTTATCCCATGACTGCTTACTTTGCTTAAGAGCATTTGGTGTGGGACCTTATCAAAGCCTTTCTGAAAGTCCACGTATATTATATCCACTGAATCACCCTTGCTCACATGTTTGTTGACTCCCTCAAAGAATTCTAATAGACTGGTGAAGCATGATTTCCCTTTACAAAAGCTGTGTTGACTCTTCCCCAGCCAACTGTGTTCATCTATGTGTGTGATAATTCTGTTCTTTCCTATAGATTCAACCAATTTGCCTGGTACTGAAGTTAGGCTTATTATCCTAACATTGCCAGGATCGCCTTTTGAGCCTTTTTTTTTTTTAAATCAGCATTACATTAGCTATCCTCCAGTCATCCGGTACAGAGGCTGATTTAAATGATAGGTTACATACCACAGTTAGTAATTCTGCAATTTCATATTTGAGTTCCTTCAGAACACTTGGATGAATACCATCTGGTCCTGGTGACTTATTAGTGTTTGATTTAATCAATTTGTTCCAAAACTTCCTCTACTGACACCTCAATCTGGGACAATGCCTCAGCTTTGTTACCTAAAAGAATGGCTCAGGTATGGGACTCTCCCTCATATCCTCTGCAGTGAAGATGGATGCAAAGAATTCATTTAGCTTCTCCACAATGGCCTTGTCTTCCTTGAGTGGTCCTTTAGCACCTCGATCATCCAGTGGCCCCATTCTTTGTTTGGCAGAGTTCCTGCTTCTGATGTACTTAAAAAAATTGCTGTTAGTTTTTGTATCTTTTGTTAGTTGCCCTTCAAATTATTTTTTGGACTTCCTAATTATATTTGTACACTTGACTTGCCAGAGTTTATGCTCCTTTCTATTTTCCTAAATAGGATTTGACTTCCAATTTTTAAAGGATGTCTTTTTGTCTCTAACTGCCTCTTCTACTGTGTTGTTTAGCCATGGGGCACTTTTATGGTCCTCGTACTGTTTGTTTGTCTTTTAATTTGGGTATATATTTAGTTGGTGCCTCTAGTATGGTGTTTTTAAATAATTTCATGCTGCTTGCAGGCATTTCACTCATGATTATTTCTTTTAATTAGCTTCTTTCTTTTTGCGTAGTTCCCCTTTTTCAAGTTAAATGCTACTGTGGTTGTATGGGGACTGGGAGTGGCTGGCTCACTACAAAAGCAATTTTCCCTCTCTGGGTATTGACACCTCCTCATCAATTATTGGGAGTGGACCACATCAACCCTGACTGAACTGACCTTGTTCACACTGGTTCTCCACTTGTAAGGTAACTCCCTTCTCTTCATGTGTCAGTATATTTATGCCTGTATCTGTAATTTTCACTCCATGCATCTGAAGAAGTGGGTTTTTTACCCACGAAGGCTTATGCCCAAATAAATCTGTTACTCTTTAAGGTGCTACCGGACTCCTCATTGCTACTGTGGTTGGTTTCTTTGGTATTTTGCCCCTATCAAGGATGTTAAATTTAATTACATTACAGTCACTATTACTGAGTGGTTCAGCTACATTCACCTCTTGGACCAGATCGTGTGCACCACTTAGGACTAAATCAAGAATTGCCTCTCCTCTTGTGGGTTCCAGGACTAGTTGCTCCAAGAAGCAGTCATTTATGGTGTCTAGAGCTTTTATCTCTGCATCCCGTCCTGAGGGGACGTGTATCCAATCAATATGGGATAGTTGAAATCCCCATTATTATTGGGTTTTCTGCTTTGGTAGCCTCTCTAATCTCCCTGAGCATTTCAGTCACAGTCACCACACTGGTCAGATGGTCAGTGATTCCCACTGCTATACTCATTATGAATTTCTATCCATAGAGATTCTATGGGACCGTTTGAATCGTTTAAGATTTTTACTATATTTAACTCTGTGCTTTCACATACAGTGCCACTTCCCCCACCAGCGCAACCTACTCTGTTATTCCTATATATTTTGCACATTTCTATACATTTTGAACCCTGGTATTGCTGTGTCCCATAGATATTCATCATTCCACCAAGTTTCTGTGATGCTGCCACTCTCCAGGAGTGTGGTGAGAGAGTCAGAGATTGCTGGTTATGAGGTTGGACTTAGAGATTCTGCATTTGTAGCAGAGTTTAACTGTGCAGAATTAATCCACAATGGCCCTGAGCTCAGCTGCAAATTTTGGCTCGAGGTGTGAACTTTCTCAAAGTTCAGATGGGCTCAGAACCAGGGTTTGGTTCAGGCCTGTCTTTAGAGTTATTTTAATAAGAGACATAGAATCATGGACTAAAAGGGACTGCAGTGGGGAACGAGAACACTTAGGCCTGCTTGGTCCCTTTAAGGTTTGACATTTCCTCATGCTTGCAGGAAGAAATTCACTTCCTCAGGACAGTACCAGACAATTGGCCAAGACAAGTGCATTATCCACATCCCGGGAAGCATCCAGTATCAGTCACTGCAGGAGGCAGCACGGTGAGGCAGTGCTGGAAGGTCATGCCCATGTTCTTACCAGTAGTCATAAGTATCATCCCAGTTGTCAAAGTGCACCAGAAAACGATTGTCCACCACGTCCGTCACCGTGGCAACGCATATTAAGGAAGGGTTCATGCGGTCCACGGCTTCTAGTTTTGTGCCCACCTGGAATCCCGTGGGAACGGCATTCTGGGGAAAGAAGAGAAACAGGGTAGGTGCGTCTGGGCACCAATCAGTTTGCTCTTATGGCTATGTCCCCACCATGCCCTGAGCAGCTGCTGGCCGGCACCATATGGAACACTTGAGCAGTAACCCCGTGCCCTTCATCTGAGGGGCTCGAAGTGCTTTTAACATCAGTGAATTTAGCCTCACAGCACCCCTGGGAAGCAGGCACAGGTATGGAAACTGAGGCACAGGACATTTACATGACGTGGCTTAGGTCGCACGGCAAGTTGCTCACAGATCTGGGAAGATACAGATGAATCAAGACTGCCAGGCCCCTGCTAGATGCTGCGGTCCCAGACAAGAACAGCTTCCCTTAGAATTAGGATCTATAATGTCACTTGTTTCCACTGTTGCTTTCCAATCTCTAGCAACAATCTTTATTACTAGGGGTTGACGTGAGGAAAGACAGTGGTAGTATTCTCATCCTAAATCTCCCTCACCTGCACTCCCCTCCCACCTGGTCCACAATTCCTGCACTCCCCTCTCATCACGCCCACCTGGTCCAGTCTTCTCAGATATAACATTTACATAAAACCCTGTGTCATAAATACTGCACTGACAGAGCTGAGTGAGAAATCGTTGCGATAATCACACACCATTTGTTGGTATTGAATTTATCAGTGAGACAACAATGGATTGTTATTATTTATTGTTTAAGAGCTGATAAGGTTTTTTTCCAAACATTTTGAAAATGTCAGCAAAAAGTATATTTTGTTCAGGGTTCTTTGTAAAAATATTCCAGGTCTCACCCCCCACCACCACCTCTTTCTCTCCCTTTTCCGTTCCATTTTGCCTCTGAAAAAAGGAGAGAACATGGGAGAAAGAGGGAGAAAGGAGGATACAGGTGAAAAACTGACCTTTTTTTGGTTTAAAAAAAAAATCTAGAACATTTTTTTAAAAAAAGAAAAATTTTCCTGGAAATATTTTTAAACAAATACTTTTGACCAGCTCTGTCTGTGGCTACATCTACATTTATGGCGGCAGATAGAGTATGGGCACTGCACGTCCAGCTAGCGCGGGTATAAGTAGCAGTGTAGGCGGTGAGGGACGGATTAGGTGAGTCGAGTGGAGTAAGCGCGCTACATGCCTGAACCCCCTGGTATAAATCCAACACAGATCTCTACACACCCAGGCAGTGCCTCCCATGTCTACACTGCTGCCTCCTACCCTGCCAGAGCCTTTCCCCACTGCTGGAGCCTTTCACTGCGGCATGTAGCTACACATATACTGCCTGTACTCCACACGGCACCTTAAGTGTAGACACAGGCTGTATTAGAGATGGGTCCAAACAAACCTCCCTTACCTGAACAACCCCCAACATTGGTGACACAGTCACTAACATACAGTGTTCTTTGTGTGCACGGTGCATGAACAGGTCGATCCTGTTCTCTGTGGGTCGACCCCCATTTCAGGAGCAGCATTACGATTGGGAGGGGATTGGGGGGATGTTGGGAGGAAGGGGCCAAAGCAAATGCATGTGAACGTAGAGGCGTTCGCTTGGAAGGAGGAAGAAGAGGATCTGCCACTCACATTGTTTGGGGTCACAAAGAGGTGCCTGGGAGCTGCCTGAGCCTTCATTATCCTCAGATAGTTCGTCCAGCTGAACTCCTCCTCCTTGTAACCTAAACACCCTCAGGAAAAGAAAAGACAGAAACAAACGTACAGAGAGAGCAGCAACACCTCCACAGGCCAGCAGGACCCGCAAGGACAGGTGTGGTGCCTTTGTGCTGTGCTTCAAAACACTGCATAGGCGTCAGACTGGGGAGCCAACATCCGGCCACTGCCTCCTGCCCAGCATCTACCCTTCTACCATCCTGCAGCCATCCTCACTCCCGAATGGGTGCACATGGCAGCGTAGTGGTTGTGGCACCTCCTATACTCAGAATGGGGAATGCTGCAGTACTGGTATTAGCCACAGGGGCAAAGGGCGACAAGCAATCTTAACGCCCATTGGTCTGTGTGCTCAGCCCCTCGCCGGGTCAGGCCCTACACATCTGCTTTTCAGTGCTGTCCACCATACTCCTGGCTGGAACCATGACACCTGGGACTAAAAGGCTCAGCATCTGAGCAGGATTCGAACCCAGACCTCCAGAGGGGACAGACGCCTACTTTAACATTCTGTGCCATGCCCTCCCACATGGGAGAATTTGACTCCTCCCGCTGTAGCAACTCTGTCTCCTCTTCTCCCCACAGGCCTCCACCCTTGGCTTGAGCACTGATGAAGACATAACCAGCCTTCTCCTGCTCTCAGGGGTCCCACACGCTCCACACATCCTGACTGCCAGCACACAAGGGGAAGGCCCATCTGGAGCAGCACCCACAGTCCTGAGGTCACTGACCTCTTACCTTTGGGGGGCTGCAGTTTGTGCCCCGTCTCCTCAGACCAGCCGGCAGGATGAATGTTGGGGGAGTCGGCGTTCAGCCAGAAATCATGGCATTCGGAGTAGCCGTCAAAGTGCAGGCGCATCCGATAACCACACACCTGCAGCGAGGAGGGGAAGGGAACTGAAGGATGAGCGCACCCCCAGCTGCACTGCCCCATGTGTGCTCTAACCCCCTTCAAGCAACATGTGCCTAAGAAGTCTGTCCGGCAGCCCACGCACAAGCACCATCACTTACCTCCTTGATAGCTTGCTGAGAAGGCCGGGGAGCCATATTGACACGCTGGTGTCAGGAATCAGGAAATGCATTTGAAGTCTGGGAGATCTGTGCGTTTAACATAGGAACAGGGCAGGCACTGAGCCACTGGCCCCAGTACTTCTACTCTCAGCAAAAGCCACAGAAAGATTCCGACTTTACCGCTGGCCTTTCTTGTCAGGGCACAGGGTGAAATGGTGACGCAGTCAGCCCTGGTGTGGATCCAGGGTTATAAAGACCTCACAGCGGTAGATTTCCCCCCTCCTTCTCCCAAGTGTTTTGCAAGAGGTTGTTGCCCTGGCAAAAATATGCCAGCAGCAAGAAACAAACAAAACGGCTGCTTTGTGGAATTTCTCACCTTGAAGGAGGATTGAGTAGACTTCAGCTGCTGGCCCATGAGTGCTGTAGGTCACGGACTGTGCACCTTACACGAATGTAGTGCAGATGGAAGGGTTTGGCCTGACAGCCTAGAGACTGAAGGCCTCTGTTTATCCACAGAACGGGTGCAGATCGGACAGTGGAAGAACAAGCTCCTACTCACTGCCCCACCAACGTGGCTCAGACTGTCCAAGAGTGATCAAATCAAGGGGCCATAGGGTACTTCCATCTCCATGGTCTATTCACTCCTGGGTTCCTCTGATGACCGTGCTAACATGGCCGCCAACCGAGATGGTGATTCTGCGATGTGGCCACCTGTCCTCTACCAACCCCCCTGACACCCTCAACTCACTTGACCTACACCGCCAAACCACCAGCGCATTTCACAACCAGCAGCTTGGCCAGGCGACGTCTGGGTGACTGCCAGCCAGCCCTGGGTTTGAACGGATGGCCTAATGGTGAGACCCAGGAGTGGTCTCCTGAGCCACCTCCTGCACAGCATTTCCTTTCTCCCCCTGGAAACCCCTCACACAACATGGCTGTGAGCACGCGTGGGGAAAGGGCAGCGGAGAAGCTGGGAAAGGCAGGCAGGAGCTGTCGGCCTGTAGCTGCGGCTGCACAGGAGGACATGGAATGGCAGTGTCACACTGAAGACCATCAGAGGAGGGAGGTTCTGGAACAGCCGCCCAGTAGGAGGAATGGGGACAAACCACGCAACTAGTGTCAAGTTGGAGCTCAATACGTTTATCAACAGGATCACGTGACCGGGTTCCCTGAAATAGCAGGAGACTGGACTTGACGAGCCAGGAGGTTCCTTTCAGTCCCACATCTTACCTCAGCCACAGTCAGGATGAAGTACATCGAAGGGTGCTGGGGATCGATCCCCTCCAGCTTCATCCCCACCTTGAAGCCGTTCTTGTGCTGGGCAACTGACTGGTACTGAAAACGTGAGAGAAACAGACCTGCTCCAATCACTCATCACAGCCCGTTGGAGGACGGAGTCCTGGGGTTAACCAGTGGGTTTTTTTTGTTTTTTAAAGCCATTCTCTGTTTTCTGTGGTTTGTTTCTCTCATTGCCGACAGGACAGGAAACACGACAGCACTGGCTTGCCATGCACGCTCCCCTGAGTGCTCTCTATTGCCCAGCCTAGAGATGAGCCTCCCCTAAGTACGGGGGTGTTTGCAGCTGGAATTGTGGGCTCATCTCTTGACCAGACAAGGGCAGGAGAGAGCGGTTCATAGAGTGAATTAGACTCACGTTTTCCCAGCCAGCGGGCAGCTGGCGAAGGTCGGGGTGGGGCAGAATCAAGGGGATGGAGGAGAAGGGCATTGACAGGGCCATCACTCTATAGCAGTGGTTCTCAAACTTTTGTACTGGTGACCCCTTTCACACAGCAAGCCTCTGAGTGCGACCCCCCCTTATAAATTAAAAACACTTTTTTATATATTTAACACTATTATAAATGCTGGCTGCAAAGCTGGGTTTGGGGTGGAGGCTGACAGCTCGCGACCCCCCATGTAATAACCACACGACCCCCTGAAGGGTCCCGACCCCCAGGTTGAGAACCCCTGCTCTATAGGGCATTTACTGAGCAAACAGACTTTGAGTGGGGGGCAAAGGTCACAAAGGGGAGGGCTAGAGCAACGCTGGAGAGCGGCGGAGGAAGACAATTGGTTACCCCAGGACGAAGGATTGGGCATTGCCCACAGCTAGGAAAACAGGAACGAGATGGAGAGGAGATGAGAAGAGAAAAAAGGAAAGGAGAAGAAGAGGAATCGGAAAAGAAAATCCCAACTCACTTCTTGGAACAGATTTAAAGGGGCAGCGATGGCTTTCTGCTCCTCCAGGTAGGATGCCCAGGACCAGCCTTCTTTCTTCTCCTCGCTGGAACCTGAGCTCGGAAGAAACGCACACACAAGCCACTCAGAGACGCGGCTGAAGATCCGGTTAGTTTGCTTTGGAACCGACCCTTGAGCTGGTCCAGGCAAGGAGAAAGGCAGACCAGCTCCCCCCGCCTCACCCCAGCGTGCAGTGCGCAGGGTCCTTCACCAGCCTCCAACCACTTTCACCCGCGTTCGGAGATGGGGGAAGGCAGAGGTGGGCTGCCCAGTGAGTGATGCACCTTGACGAAAAGGGCTGTATCCTGCTCTCCGTGACCTGCTCCCATCCCCAGTGACCTCAGGCACCGCCCTCCAGGTGTAACACTGGGCCAAAGCCCTGTCTGTCCATCTGTTCAGCTGGAAGGAGGAGATGAAAAGCCATCTCCCATGCAGACCAGACCCAGGCCAGTATTCTTTCTATCCCTCTACATGGTGTCACTGCCTATAGTGGGGGCCCAGGGTCATGCAATAAAAGAATCCTACTGTATACAGTGCAGAAAACCCTGAGGAGAACCCAGATACATTCTGCAGCCAGCCAGCATCGACGGCTGAGACTTTCAAAGCCTCCAGTAGGAGAGAAATGCCCAAGTCCCATTCCTTTTAATCCAAGCAAAGGTTCAGGAACAGCTGTAAAAACAAGAGGGAGTCCCCAAAGCAGCCAGAGACAGGCCAGCTCCATTAGCACAGGGACTAACCAATTGGCAAGGCTGAGTGTGAGCTGCTGCATTTGTACTGGTATGTACCTATCTGAGATGTTTATCTGGCTCCCCTCACCGTAGAACCTGAGCACCTTGCAATTTTTAACATATTAAAGACCCCTGGGAGGAAGGCAAGTGCTACTAGCCCCATTGCACAATGGGGGAACTGAGGCACAGAAAAACTAATTGACTTGCCCAAGGTCACAGGAAGTCTATGGCAAAAAAGGGATTGAGCCCAGGTCTATCTAACCATTGACCCAGCACCCTAACCCCTGGGCCATCCATCCTCTCTTCACTGGGGGAGATCTCTGGTGGGAAAGGGGCTATAGGAACCCAAATCTTAATCCTATCAGTAGATGCATTCAGAGACCGGACACGGGACTAGACGAATCTTGGGTCTGAACCAATCTGGCAGCTCCTATGGCTAATCATCCATGCGATACAAGGTAACAACATTTCATCAGGGGGATTCAGGCGGCATCATGAGCTACAGGAATGCCCCCATGCCCCTGGGATGTTGTCAGCCGGATGGCGAGCAGGTCACTTAGCTGACTTCTACCCACCTGTAGCTGCTGCTGCATGGGAAGCAGCCACCAGAGACTGCCCTGCCACACCCCTTACCATGCTGGTTCATGCTCCACTCTTCGCTCTCCGTGTTGCTGATGGTGGGGTCTCCCCCCGAGTTCTTTCTCTCTTCCTGCTTCTCCTCCTAACCACGAGAGTACAGAGAAAGGATGTCAGTCACTCACCACCCTTGTAATGTCTCAGACCTTCTTGGATTATGACGGCGCTCAAGAATTTTTGGGTCCCCAAATCCAAGAAACGGACAGCCAAGAGGATCTGGCTTGTGAGTAGACCGAAGCTGTCGGAGAGGGATTTGGGAGTGGATTTGAAAGGACCTCACTAAAGATGGATTTATTGTGAGCGGTGCCGTCTTATTTTTTCGGCCAGCGGGTGCTTTATGCCCCAGAACGCAGCATCTGGATCACTGAGGCAGATGCGCTCTGGTTTGTAAGTGCAGTTTCCCAGTGTTTCATGCTCACGAGGCCAGGCTTCTCGCAGAGCTCAGGGCTGGGGGTTGACGTGTTCAGCATCCACCACTGTGGCTCAGTTTTCAAAAGGGCTCAGCACCCAACGTCCACCCAGGCGCTGAGACCTCTGAAAATGTGGCCCAAGATGTCTACAGGACTCGAGGGTCAGTCCCTTTGGATGTCTATTTACCCCTCTCTCTTTCTGCTCTTTGGAGTTAAGTTGTCAGTTTCTGATTAATACTTGGACATATAATGGATATTGCACTGACAATTATAAATAAAAAAAGGGGGGGAGGGACACACACGCACACACACACACGCACACACAGAGACATGATGGCAGGGTACCCTAGCCTCTCCACTGACAAGTATCTGTGTGTGATCTTGTCCCGTCCGTGCCGGCCCTCTCCCCTACCATTTGCTCGGATTCATATTCCTCCTCCTCCGAAGGGCTCTGGTAATCCTTTCTTTTCCGTTTTTTCACCGGCTTGAGGATTTCGGTGGCGTTAGTGCTGCCGGCAGAGTTCTCCACTATGACAGACCTGCGGGGGAGAAGGGACCGTAATGCCCATCAGCAGAGAGGAGCCACACTGCACATTGGCAAGAGATGGGATGTCAGCAAACTTGGTTCGAAGGGGCCTGGCAGGGAGGGAGGTTGTGTGGCCAACACCAGTCTGAAAAGCAACTGCCTTTTCAATCCCTCCTCCAGTGCCTATACACCTGCACACACATGCACAAACATATATGCACGCACGCACACGCACACACACGCACTGTTCCTCATGATTAAAATGAGCAATCTGCCAAGAACGTGTGTCTTCATGTGGTCAAAATTAAGAGATGAGCCTGAACCACAATCCTGCATCCAAGTATCCTCGAACGCTGGGGTATCTGAAATCCAAATCTGAATCCAGATCCAAATAGACTGATCTTTATAACGGTCTGGACCAAATGCCTGGATCCAAGCAACCCAGAATGACAGGGCACTGGAGATCCAGATCTACATGTGGTGGTCTGCCCTCATCTGTGAGCTGGGAAATCAGATGAGGGAAAACGTGTCCTTCGGGGACCAAGGTGAGGACGCCTTTCCCTGGGGAAGCTTCTCATAGCGCCAGGCGCAGCCCGCTCCTGCACTGAGACCACAAACGATCTGAGTGACAGCTTGGCCCCGCTGAAATCAATAGCAAAACCCGCCCTGACTTCAGTGGGCTCAGGGGCATCCTGCGCGTTTGCTTGAAGAATAACCTGCCCACAGGAACAAGAGAGGGGTCTCCCAGCCCACGCAGACACACGCCTGTATCCCCCTCTCCTCTAGAGAACAAAGGCTGGTCTGAGAAAGACAGGGTTTGCCTCAGCACGTTTCCCCCTGAAGGTGCAGGTTCTTCTTCCCCCACCTGAAGCAGCGTCTCCTTTACCTTTCCTTGAACTGCCGATGACAGTGTTCGCTGCAGAACCCCCTGCCCTCCCGGGCCCCCTCCGACACATGTCTCCGGCCACAGGTATCGCAGTGGCACATGCTCTCTGCTGTCGGCAGCTTGAGCTGTTCGGGCACGTCTGCGTCAGGAGAGAGTGAAAGGGACATGAACTCCAACGGGCGAGAGCCGCCGGGGCAGGAGAACAGCACAAGTCAGAAGACACCTGCCTCCCATATGGCTCGAGGGTGGACGTAGGCACCACACACATAACCCGGGGGAGGCTGAAGCTCTCTTTCAGCCCTACCTTGGGGTAGGATTGAGGGAGGCACTTTGGAAGCAGGCCCTGTGGTCAGCAGGGTCCAGTGTACAGTTGCTTGCTGAGCTGGGCTTGGACAGGATGGACCGTCTCACTCCTTGGCAAGAAGATCATGTGGAGAAAGCCTCATGGAAACTCTGCCTGAAATGATGCATTGGTTCCAGCCAGCCACTGGGGTTTTGGGACAGGGCAACATGTCTGTTGAGCTACTGGCCCTCCAGAAGACACCAACAACAAGTGGATAAAGGAGCCTTCTGGATTTCCCACTAGGGAAAGCCAAACACCCGTCTATGGGGCAGGAGTGGGGATCTTTCTGGAAGGGTTGGGGAGACAGAGCTGCAGTGGCTCCAGAGCCCATTGTGACTTAGCCCACCCCCACCCTCCCTTTAGGGTCTGAGATCACTTCAGAGGAGAGGCACCAGCAGAAACCCACCCTCCCCATGGCCCAGTGTGACAGAGATATTAACACCACCACTGACATGAATACCGTTTCCACATGCTTAAAAACATCGGAGCCAAAGGATCCTTACCCTGAGCAGCAGCTGGATTGTCTCTGCTGGTGGGCGCCACCTCCGACTCCCCATCTCTCTCCGCATGACCATCCTTTAGGGGCTCCACAGGGGGGATCTTATCAGCACTCACCACTTTCAGCGTCCCATATTCATTTATCCGAAACTGGGTTATTAACGCAAACACAAAAGGGAAGAAAGATAAAAGCGTAACCCACTGGGGAGTGTGCGACAGGTCCCCCTTTGGGCCCACCCACAAGGGACAGGAGTCTGGGACAGCCCCACCTAGGAAGCCTTAGCTCAAGTTGTAGCAGCTTGTGATTTTTAAATGTGAAGGTTCCTAGTTCAATCCCCGGTGTGTCAGCCAAGATGGCGGCCATCACAAAAACATAAGGCAAGAAGGACTAATGGACTCAGACATAACATTGTTGACCCGTCTCCCCCATGAAAGTCAACCCTTCCCCTGGTGCTGGACATGCCAGGTCAGCCCTACCAGGTGAGAGAGGGGCAAAGAACAGGATGGGCATATGGGAGCTGTGGGGTCTCCACCCAGCCCTTTAACTGACCCACTGTTCAACCTCAGGGAAAGCTTTTCACTTCTATGGAGAGGGCAGGGTTTGGCCTGGTGGCTGACATAGCAGGGAGGGGCAGAGTGCTGTCTGGAGGCTGGAACAGCCCGGAGGAGGCAGGGTACTGGATGAGGTAGTGGAGGGGATGGGGTACACTGGTTATTGTAACAGTCTAGGCACCGCAGCTGTGTGTTGTGCATGGATCACTAGCACTAAGCTACCGAGCCAGCCCCAGTGGGTGCTTAGTATAAACACCAGCCGAACTACCTCTAAAGATAGTCCTGACTGGATACCTTTAGGGCCAGCCTTTCAATGGTGGATGCCATGGTTTGGCCTGCAAAAGCGTACAGGCACTGGCACCACATCTGTGCTCTGAAAGGCCACTGGGCCATGCAAAGCCACTGAGGTCTGCTCCTTCAGCGTGTGCAGTTACCTGTTTGTGGGCACACCTGCAGCATCCTCCATCCAAAGGTGGCTAGAGATTTAAAGGGCTCCCTCTCATTCTCTGCTAATGAGGAACAGGCTCAGAAGGTAGAATCCTAATGACGAACCTGGAGGGCAGGACCCCAAGAAGAGGCTCTTATTGCCCTAATAAGAAAGCAGCTGCATAACCTGTCAGTTCATAATTCTCCGTGGACGCGCCCAGCCAGGGTTAAGGGTGCTAGTGTACAGGGGTCTGGCTTCCCCCCACACTTACTCTTAAGTTGCTGCCAGGCAGAGTGGCCACGCCATCTTTCCACTCCAGTACCCGGACGGTGTTGCAGGTCTGCACCCCGCTGATCTGGGGGATGACGGTCGCCGTGATTGGCTCGTTCCCTGCCCCCCTCTCCAGTCTCTCGGCGCCTGCGCTTCTCTGCTGCTCCCGGGGAAATCGCTGGATCTCTAAGGTGCTGGCGGGGAGGCTGATGGTGGCTGTGTTTGCTGGAGAAGGGTGAAAAGGTAAAGAGGGACAAACACTTCATATACATGCAGCAGGCACGGGGTGGGGCAGCAGCCAATACAGCACAAGGGGGTGAGGGATGCCAGGCACACGGTCTGCGCTCACTCTGTTCGCACACCTGACTCTTAGGTTTGCGCCAGGGGTTTCCTTGAAAGGTGTCAATCCGCCGGGTCTGACCTGCCGTACAGCTGCAGCTACTTGTTCTGTGTCCTGCAGAATCAAGTCCCAATTCTGAGCTCAATACACCTCAATGGGGGGGGGGGGGAAGGGAGCTGCATGCCACCTCTGCAGCCCCCTGGTGAATTCTGGAGGGACACAGGGCAGGAGCTGCAATGGGAGAAGAGCAGAGAGGAGGACTGAGGCCAGGTGGGAGAAGGGAGGGGAGGGGCTGAGCACTGAACTGTTCATTGGGTTCCAGTTAGGAATAACTACAGGAATAACAGGGCCTGATTCTCCTTTACACTCAGACTCTGGACCTGAATGCGGGTGCCAGTTACAGCTACACCTGGAAAGCCAGCACACTGTAAAGGGCCACAGTGCAAATGAGAATCAGGCCCAGGACATTTTAAACTTCATCTACACCAGTTAGAACCAGCTGGATGAGCACCGTGCCTCCGTCCCCTCCAGCCCTCTGAGTCTGCTCAGCACCCCCATGAGGGCCAAGGCTGGAGCTGCGCCCCCAGAAAGGTGTCTGACTCCCTGGGCTATGGAGCACAATGGGCCCAGGCCTGCGCCTGAACAGCTGCAATGGTTGGGAACAGCAAATTACATCCCTAGCTAGTGAAAAAACAGCAGCTGCTCCTCACAGACAAAGGTCTGGTCATAGCAACCCAGGTTTTGGTTCCTTCATGGCAGGATTGCTGCAATGGAAGCCACCTGGAGGGCCAGATTCCCTGATCGGCCCCAGCTGCTCTGCATTGCTCAGATGGTGGAAAGTGACCGTATCCAGGCTGGAGGCGGCCAGCGGAGAATTCCTCCTGCGCAGGGTAACCTGTGCAGGTGTAAAGCTGGCAGAAGTGGATGTAGCGTGCTGCGGGCCATAGAATCATAGAAATGTAGGACTGAAGGGACCTCGAGTGGTCATCTAGTCCAGGCCCCTGCACTGAGGCAGAACTAAGTATTATCTAGACCATTCGTGACAGGTGCTTGTCTAACCTGCTCTTAAAAACCTCCAATTACAGCGATTCCACAATCTCCCTAGGCAATTTGTTCTAGTGCTTAACTACCCTGACAGTTAGGAAGTTTTCCTAATGTCTAACCTAGATCTCCTTTGCTGCAATTTAAGCCCATTATTTCTTGTGCTGTCCTCAGTGGATAAAGAGCACAATTTATCACCCTCTTCTTTATAACAACTTTTTACATACTTGAAGACTATTATCATGTCCCCACTCAGTATTCCATCCTCCAGAAAAAAGAAACCACATTTTTTCAATCTTTCCTCGTAGGTCATGTTTTCTAGCCCTTTAATCATTTTTGTTGCTCTCCTCTAGACTTTTTCCATTTGTCCACCTTTTTCCTGAAGTGTGTCACGCAGAACTGGACACAAGTGCTGAGTAGAGCAGAAAAATTACTTCTAGTGTCTTACTTCCAACACGCCTGCTAATACATCCCAGAATGATGTTTGCTTTCTTTGCAACAGTGTTACACCGTTGACTCGTATTTAGCTTTCTTTTTTTACATCATTTTGTATAAGTGCAACTGATTGTTCTTTCCTACGTGGAGTACTTTGCATTTGTCCTTATTGAATTTCATCCTATTTATTTCAGACCATTTCTCCAGTTTGTCAAGATCATTTTGAATTCTAATCCTGTCTTTCAAAGTGCTTGCAGCTTGGTATGATCCACAAACTTTATAAGTATACACCCTATGCCATTATCCAAATAATTTAGGAAGATATTGAATAGAACTGGACCCAGAACAGATCCTGGAAGGACCTCACTCAATATGGACTGTGGGATCTCTCCCATCCTCCACAAGTTCTCAAAGATAACTGCTAATGGCTCAGCGATCTCTTCAGCCAGTTCCTTAAGTATTCCAGGATGTATTTTGTCAGGCCCTGCCAACTTGAAGACATCTAACTTGTCCAAGTCATTCTTCACTTGCTCTTTCTCTATTTTAGCACCAGATCCTACCCCGATGTTCATTGTCCAATCACAGCTAACAGTTTTGGTGAAAAACAAACAAAAAAGGCATCCAACGCTTTGGCCATTGCGGTATTTTCTGTTATCGCTTTCCCCTCCCTCATTGAGTAATGGGCCTACTGCGTCCTTGGTCTTCCTCTTATTTCTCAGAGGTTTGTGAAATATATTTGTACGGTGGAGCAGAGGTCTCCTGCGTCTCTCCTTCACTGGGGTGAGTTAGAGCAAGCCTTCAGCTGCTCTAACATCCACCAGGGCTTCCAGGAAGCTCTTCCCTGCCCCTCCATTTCGTGCAGGCAAAGCTTGGGCTGCACATTCAGCCCAGCAGCTGTAGCTGGCCCAGAATGCAATGGCCCAGCTGCTAAGTCAAAGTGTGTGAGAACGCCCCACTGCTCTGTGCCCCGTCCTGGCTCCCTGGTCCTCATCTTGAAACCCCTCAATAGGCTCCATGCCAGCTTCCTACTGGAAACCCTCACCCGGTCTTTCTGCTCCACTCCAAAGTACTGCAATCAACAGGCATCGGGCTACTACCTGCGCCCAGAACATACATTGACAGGGATGAGCAGAGCTGCCGATCGTCCTGACTGGCTGGTGGGTGTTAGCAGCATGTGGGAACCATGCTGGATCATCCTCCACCAGGTGCTAGTTAACGTCTACTTTACCCCTGGGAACTGTACTGGGAACCACTTTGACGCAGGAGTCCTGGGAGAAGCACCAGCTCTCCAATGGCCAGGAACGTCTCCAGGGAGGCACAAGTCACCCCCTTGGCCAGGAGACAGAGAAAACCTAAGGAAGCACCTCAAAACCCTTCCTAGCAGGGGTCACTCTCAGGGCTTATTCTGCACAGCTGGGTACAGGAAGGAGGGAGATGTAGGGGAGGAAGTGAAAGAAAGACGGGATGGGAGTGAGAATTAAAGGGGAGGGAGAGAGTGTGCGAAGGGGCTGTGGGGGGAGGATATGGCCTAGATAACTGAGCTGTAGAGTTATGTGCAACCATATCCAAGGGCTCTGATCCCCCGTGGTAGCCCTGACAGTGAACCCTAGGTGCTGTTACCCTGCCAGCACCCTGAGATGCGGGGACAGGCCTGGCCTCAGTTTCCCTGGCTTGCCATGTATCCGTTGGATGGATCAACACAAGATCTTAAACAAGACTAACACTTACAGCACAAGCATGCCCAGAACGCCATCCCGGCCCCAAGCCCTGCTGCATGTTCCATGGGGGAGAATCTGCTATGCAAATATTTCCTACAGTTTACAAGCCTATTATTGTAAGTTGCCTTCCCCTCCCATGGCTGGTCCAATAGAGGATAACAGCCTACTGCTGCTGTCTAATGGGGGTGCTCTCGAGGCTCAAGTGATAGAGCTCCGTCCCAGAGGAGGGGATGACTCCATGAATGGAGGAAACATCCCAAGCTATTTGGAGAAAGGAAGGATAGTTCCATGGTTATGGCACTAGTCTAGGTCTTGGGAGACCTAAGTTCAAGTCCCAGCTCCACCACAGACTTCCTGAGTGGCCTTAGGCAAATCACTTAGTCTCTCTGTGCCACAGCTGCCTTTCTGTGAAATGGGGATAATGGCACTGCCCTGCCTCACAGGAGCATTGTGAGGATGAACACATTTGAGATCGTGAGGTGCTCCAATACTGTGGTGATGGAGGCTGTCTAAGGTACCACTGATAACTACTCAACCGCTGGCGTCTGGAACACCTACCTGGGATGATGAAGGCAGTTGCGGGCAGGTGTGCGTTCTGCACTGTGTTCTCGTTGGCGACCAGATGGACGCTGACCTCCCCGGTGGCATTCCCCTTGGTGCTTCTCATGACCTCCATTTCCGCTCTGCCATCCATCACCCCCGTTGGGCAGGTGGCATAAACCTGGAATCCAACCAGCAGGCATGGAGGCCAGTTAGAGCCTGAGTGGTATGAACTCAGGGAAGGAACAAAGACAGAAGGAGCTGGAACAGGAGTCAGTCTGACGAACAGCGTGAGAACACTAACTATGGGTGGCTCATAGTGCCACCAGTCCCACTCCCCCCAGCAGGAGCTCACACGATAGACAACAGCATGAAAGTCATGACTTTTCCTCAACCATTGCTCAATATATTGTAGCCGAGGCCCTGCTGTCAGACCAGGAGAAGGCACGGCTTTTCCTGGCATTAGGGACAACTTTTTTTAAACAACTTGATTCTTTTAATTAATATTCTTTTGAATGGTTAGGGAGACTGAACTTTGCTACGATGCCTGATTTAAACCAGAGTCCACAAACGATCCCTAGTCCTGGGCTACATTCCCTCTAAGCTGTGGGGACGTGCAGCAGGCTATCACAGGCTGCGCAGGCGGGGAGAGGCATCTCTCCCCCGGTGTCAGTCCTGGAGCTGCCACAGCCAGGGAGATGCACCTCTCCCCTGGCCCTGGCCCTGGCTCCAGGCTGCTGCAGTGAGAGAGGCCTGGGGGAGTCCTCTCTCCCCACTGTAGCCCTGGGACAGCCTGCATTCCAAACCCCTCATCCCCAGCCCCACCCCAGAGCCCACACTCCCAGCTGGAGCCCTCACCCCCTGCATCCCAACCCTCTGCCCCAGCCCTGAGCCCCCTCCTGTACCCTGAACCCCTCATCCCCAGCTCCATCCCAGAGCCCACACCCCTAGCCAGAGCCTGAAGCCCCCGAACCCTAACCCTCGGCCCCAGCCCTGAGCCCCCTCCCACACTCCGAAACCCTTGACCCCACCCCTGCCACACATCATCTCCATATTGGTGCACATAACAAAATTCATTCCGCACATGGATGTAAAAAATTAGAGGGAACATTGATCCTGGGAGAGAGGCCTGTATTTCAGTGACACTATCAAGTTTCTGACTGGTCCAGCAAGATCAGGCTTATTTAGTTTAAGAATTTCAGAGAGGATGACCGACAGGGAGGGTGATATTAGCCAAAGGCTGCATGCCAGTCAGGTCTCATCTACAAAATGGCGATAATAATAGGCCAGGAGTATGGGGAGGGTAAACTAATTAGTGTAATTAAAGAATGTTCCTATTCAAATGAAAGGTGCAATGGAAATACGAAGATAAAATAATAAAGAGTAGGAATAGTGTAAGGGAACAGAGATCTGCAACAGGTCATCATCTAGAAAGCAGGGATTCCACAGAGCAGAAGTGTGTGTGAAACAGACACAGGTCAGTGGCAACATTTTATTAACATGATGCTCTGTTAACTAAGGCCTTGTCTATCTTACAAAAGGTTTGCCAGTATAGCTATACTGGTATAGCAATACCAGCAAAAAAAAAAAAAAAAAACTAGTGTAGATAAAGCTTGTACAGGCAAAAGAATTATTTCTTTTGTACAACTTAAACCAGTTCCGCAAATGGGTGAGGTAACACAGCGTCAACACTGGCACTGTACCAGCAAAAAAGTGCCAGCAGATGGCATATGTCATTAGGGGAGGTGGTTTTCGGCCACCGAGAGGAAGAGTTTTATCGACAGGACTCAAAATTGAGTGTGGACTCATGTAGAGATGTGCCAAAATAAGGCATGTTTTCTGGTAACGCTTTCTAGCACAGAGCAGACCTGAAAAAGCTAGTCCAGCAAAAGAATTTTTCTGCCAGTATAACCTAGGGAGTATCCCAGCATGGCTATATAAATTAGGGCAGTGATTTTTTTCCAACAGTTATGCCAGGGAAATTCACTAGTATAGACCAGGCCTAAGAACGGAAAAGATACCCACTGTCAGGTCATCCAACTGATAATGATGACCTGGAAATTGTGCTGAGATTAGGGAACATCAGTTCAGGGATGGGGCACCTGAGAAAGCGAAGACAGGACATGGCTACCTGTTTTCACACTTGGTTACCGGGGGTGCTTCAGATTCCCTTAGAAGGCTCATCAGATCACAGCTGTTCAGAGCTGGACTCAGGAGGACATTTGCACTATATAACAATTACAACTTCATTGAACTTACCACATCATGAACAGCTTCCTCTTTGCCAGTAGAGGATGCTCTTTATATTAACAAACTGTATACACAAACATAAATAGATACATTTATCTCATTACACTGAACTCTCATACCAACTTTCTTCCTATAATGGATTTGAACAATCTCAGTTAACAATATAGCCTTGCCACTATGAGCCAACTTTACTATGGGAGCTCTGGGTTCAGATCCCACCGCTTACACCACATTACATCTAAAAAATATGCTATAGAGCTCAAAAGAAGGTGGGAGCTTAATGTAAAAATTATTCAGTGAGGTTCTCTGGCCTATGCCATACAGGAAGTCAGGCCAGATGATCACAACAGAATCTTCCAGCCTTTAAAAAAAATAATTAAAAAAAAATCTATGAACAGCTGAATTCTGGAACCTATTTGCAGAGCATAACAACAACTTCACTAACATAAAAGCTTCTGAACAATAGTGCATAGTCTTGTGTGCCAGCAGGTGGTTTTTGTATGTTAACTAGCTGTGTATCTTTTATATGCAACAGCAACGCACCTGATTCTTTGCAGAACACGTGGCCCTTGCAGCAAGGCAATGCAGCCAGATGTTGGCAAGTTAGCGCCACTGCAGGGCTTGGGATTTTCTTTTCTCTCGTTCCCCAAGGTTTGAAGGTGTATTTGTGACCGTTGCAAGACGAATGGAAAAGAGAAGACTGGACGCTGCACTCTTTTATCCCTTTAAACTGAAGATTTGCTCTAGGAGTGAGGAAGGAGAATATCCAGCTACAAGGATGCAGCTCAGTTCCTGGATCAAAACATACAGTCCCCACCCAATGGAAGATAAAGCTCCTAAAGACGCTCCTGGAGAAAATATTTAATGGGCACTATCAAGCACCAGGGGCCACATTTTACAAAAACTCCTAAGTGAGTTAGGCAACCAACTCCCATTGAATGTCAATGGGAGTTAGGCACCTACCTGCTTAGGTGCTTTTGTAAACCCCACTGGGCACCTATCGGCGTCATCAGGCAACTTTGTGAATCTGTCCCCAGATCAGCTACTTAGGTTTTGTAAATGGGATGGGTTTTACAAAACCTAATGCAGATCCACTATTTTTAATGGCTGTGAAAGGTCTGAGGTTTCTTTATTACTATTATTGAAACAATCGCCCTGGAGGAGAGACAGGTCACCAAACCACAACAAAATCTTATGCTAGTGCAGGAGAAGTCCAAGGGAAAAGGACTACAAACAGAAAGCAAAATAGACCAGTCTAGTTTCAGTATCCAAGCCAAGCGACATACAGGCCGCAGGAGTGCAACTCACCTCACCCCAGTGCAGAGGGCCAGCATGTACATTAAACAAAACAAAAAAAAAGATTTTGTAAGTAATATTATTGTGAGAAATATCTTACAAAACCGTGACGGGCTGCAGTGGGACTGAAGTGATGCATGGACATTGGCTGGCTCGCTGCAGGGGGTGTATTTTGCCCTCAACAAACAGTACTCATTTTGATTAGGAACTCTCATCATTAATATTTTTCCCTTTTAAACACCTAATAATAAATTTAGATTTAGATTTTATTTCCCCCCCCAAAAAATCATTAAAATAGAGTTCAAGTCGTATCAGTCCATTGTGTTTCCTGTTATGACGGCAAAATTATAAATAAAAGATACGAAAGTCAGAACATGTGGAGTGAAAGTTCTGCAAACAACCATCCCAACTGTTGCCTTTCCCCCAACCCACGCCACTCGCCTAACAGGGACACAGATCTACAGCAGATGTGCAGCTAAATCTGGAGATTACAAAAAGCTCAGGTGACACTCAACACCTTCCTAGATTTGGGGGGGGAGGGGGATATAAAATCCAGGAGGACAGGACAGGATAGGCTGGGAGACAAAGTCACTTCACACCTAAGAGAGGGTCATTACAGCCAAATTTGTAAAACTGGGGTTCAGTGTTGCCAACACTCACAATTTTATCACAAGACTAACAATAATTGGTGGTTTCTGTAAATCCCCAGTTAATGGAGTCATGTGAATATACAGTAGAACCTCAGAGTTACAAACACCAGAGTTATGAACGGACCAGTTAACCACACACCCCATTTGGAGCTGAAAGTATGCAGTCAGGCAGCAGCAAAGACCAAAAAACAAACAACAAAAAAAGCAAATACTATATAGTACTGTGTTAAACAAACTACAAAAAAAAGGGAAAGCAGCATTTTTCTTCTGCATAATACAGCTTCAGAGCTGTATTAAGTCAATGTTCAGTTGCAAACTTTTGACAGAACAACCATAACATTTTGTTAAGAGTTACGAACAACCTCCATTCGTTCCCGAGGTGTTCATAACTCTGAGGCTGTACTGTATGACAATCACAGCTTTCATTTCAAAATAAAAGTTTCCAACGGTGGTGAAGAAAAGCTGGAAAATCATGGAACCTAAAGGCTCAAAAACCCCTATATTTACGTATTTTTAAATGTCTCCTGATTTCTGAATGCTTGCAAAATTCCTAGCAATGCAGCCTTATCGCTAGCCACATCTCTTCATTTCGCTCATTTGACTGCAAATGAGTTCTCCACACCCACATCACCATGTGGGCCATGAGGGTAAAGAGAACAGGAGTACTTGTGGCACCTTAGAGACTAACACATTTATTAGAGCATAAGCTTTCGTGGGCATCCGAAGAAGTGGACTGTAGCCCACGAAAGCTTATGCTCTAATAAATGTGTTAGTCTCTAAGGTGCCACAAGTACTCCTGTTCTTTTTGCGGATACAGACTAACACGGCTGCTACTCTGAAACATGAGGGTAAAGGTACGTCTCAGGCCTGTTTCCAATGCATGGGATCTTAATTCCATCTGGAAGGATGGGGGAGGTAGATAATGTGGGGTGTACAGCCGGAACATAGAAGGCAGATG